AGGAAGATGGGCATGGATGTTAGCCCAGGGCCAGTCTTCCTCAGCAAAAAAAGAGGAGGATTGGCAGATGTTAGCACAGGGCTGATCTTCCTCACCAAAAAAAAAAATTCAGTAAGATGAGTACTATAGTACGTAACAAAATACATAACCACTGTTGCTACAAGTCTGAGATAAACCAGAATGGGCATAAAATTGTCAAAAGCTACTTTTCTAAAAAAATGGGACAACCAGGAATTAATAAAGATTGGAAGAGAGTACAAAACACTTTGGAAAGACAATAAGATAAATAATCTGGTCAGTAAAATTTTAATTTTGGAGTTTCTACATTATAAACTACTTTTCTTTGCCAAAAGGGAAAAGGGAGATGTGTTCTGACTTGAGCAAACCCGGGCTTGGTTTGTCCTACTTCTCCATGTTTTCCCTCAAAGATCCATCTTAAATTTACTTCTTCTACATTCCATTCCTCCACCTCCTAATCTTGAGTTTATCATTAAATAGCATATTTTAACTTTAAATAAACAAGTAATTTGTTTATCAATAAATGCACAGTAAAAAATACATACCTGTCCTATTAAAAGCCCAGAGACAAAAGCATTTCCTTGGAGATTGATGTTTGAAAGATACTGGCCAACAGTCTCTTCTACAATGTAGGTTCTTCCCATTACTGAGAACTGATTCAATCTCCTAAATTACAAGAAAAAACACATAGCATTTTTAGGTAAAAATATAATTTGCAATGTTTTTCTCATGAGGACAGAATAGTGAGAGAAGCGGTACTACCCTGCTATTATCCCATGCCTTGCAGTGACTGCTTATTAAATAGGGTGTTCTTTCTTGCAAAGTTAAATGTAGCTTCAGAATTCTCAACACACTGCTGCAGGAAATGACTACCAATCAACCAGAATTGACATGAGAGATAAAACCTATTTCCATACCTAGGATAAGGGAGAGGACACTAAACTAATAGTCAATACACCTGATTTCTTATTTGGATCCACTACTCCCTAGTTGTACGATGTTTGATAATCTATTCCTGAGCATCAGTGTGCTCATTTCTAAAACAGGAAAGATGATAATTTCTGAGTTGCTCATTGGGAGGGAGAGAGAATCAAATTCATTTACTCAAGAAGCATACTATGAAGAGCTACTATGTGCTAGAAATTGTGCCAGGTGGGACAGCACAAAGAGGAATAATATTTGACCTCTGTCCTTGAGTAACTGATAGTACAAGAGTTACAGACGTAGATAAATAGCAATGCAATAATAAAGAACATTTGTATAGCTTCTACTTTGTATAAGGTGTGGTTCTAAGTACTTTACATGTAGTAACATTCAATATTCACAAAAACCCCATGAAGTAGGTACTATTATTATAATTTTCATTTTATAGATGAAGAAACTAAAATGAAGAGAGGTAATGTAACTTGTTGTCTTGACATGAGTACAGCTATGTTTGGCCGCTCCATTGACCTACAGCCACCAGCACACAAAGAAATATAAAGCTGCTTTCTGTGTGGTGGGAACTGGCCTTTCTCCCACGGAGAGAGTTGCAAGTTGTAACATTTCAAGGCTCTTGGAGCGTCGTAGCACGGGATGGACTGGCCATCTGTGCCGGGCTAGGACGATAACCAAAGAGAACAATGCACGTACACAATTACTGGGCTGGGACATTAGCCAGAGGGCTCAGTGCACGTACACCACTGATAACCATTTGTGCATGGAAACACTAAATGCTTGCTCTGCAAACTCTGCAATTGCTCACTCTGAAAATTACTGATGGTATAAAAACTGCTGGAAACTGAGACCCGGTGAGAGTTCCACCCGTGGAAGGGACGCCTTGCCCAGGACGTGTGATCCTTGCCCAGCCGTGTCGATTGACAGGGCTCTCCCGGCAGTGGGGCGTGGATGTTGTGAGTAATTGATTTATTGTGAAGTAATTGATCTGATGTGTTCTCTTTTCGGTCAACCTGGTGTTTCTCTTTCCAGTTGATTTGTGTCATTTCCCTTCAGTCGATCTGGTGTTTCCCTTTACGATCGATCTGATGTTTTTCCCTCTTATTATATGACCTATTCTGATCTGCTGCTATCTCAGCCGACGTGGATGTTTTCCCTTTCCAGTCGAGCTGGTGTTTTTTCCCTCTTATTATTTGACCTATTCGCATCTGTTTGCGGACTATCGCCTTTACTATCCTCTATATAATAAAATATACCTTCGGTCCATTTGTTTGGAGTGGAAAGTTTCTTTTACGTCTCCAATCGAATCCCCGAACCTCTCATAACACTTATCCAAGTGGCAAAGGTGGGATTTAAACTTAGGCAGTCCAGCTCTAGAATTCATGCCCTTAAACACTACGCTCATACCAAGGATTCATACCCAGTCTCTCAATTAAACCTTTACTGAGGGTAACTCCTGTTCTGCTCTCTCTCCAGTTTGTGGATGAGAACCAATATATTCCTCTTACTGGCTCACACTCCTTTGATTTTGAGTTTCTGTAGCTTAAAACCAAAGATGCTGAATAAAAGAGCAAGGCAATAATGAATGATGACCTCAAGGAGTCTACATACAGTGTGAGACAAAAATATAAAAAGATAATATTCAAGAAAGCTATAAAATAGAGAGTCTGTAGGAACACTGTTGCAGCATTCTGAACAGCGAGAATAGTCATTTGAGTTCTGTAAAAAATTTCAATCTTTTTTAGTACAACAAAGTGAAGGCAACTATAGATGTGCTGGGATGGTATATCTGACACCAGTAATCTTCAAGTCACAGTGATTTTGCATTACTCTAAAACTAAAGATCAGAGAATTGGTTCCAGTTTGAAACGGCCTATGGGATGCTGTTTTTTCAAAGAGCCTGTTCAGTTTTGTCTCAAAATGCACTAAATTTCTTCCTAGCTCTTTTCTGAAAATTGTGCAAGTAAATTGGGTTTGCCCACCTTTTTTGAGACTAAGTCTAGAACTGCCTGTCTAAATCATTAATGCTTCTATAAAGTTAAGGAGTTTCCACTTTTAGTAGTGCCTTAAGGTATGCATTTCTGTGTACTAAACTTTCCTCTACTTCATCATGCTATTCTACCCCTTTTCCTTCTGCCCTAATAATTTCTTAATTCTTGCAAGAAATAGCAGTGACAGTGACTCCAAAGTTAGAATATGCAACTTTCTAATCTTATTTTTTCCAAAGTATCACCTACTAGCCATGTAAATGTGTAAGAAACTGAATGTAATAGGAAGATGAAATTCTATTAGATTATGAAATCTGGTTGAATGTTAGATAATTTTCTTTTTCTGTAGTGCTCCTTCAAAACTTTTAAATGTAGCCAACCATACTTTATAAAGGACACTACAAAAACATAGACCTTGCCTTATACAGTTCAATTTTTCCTGACATGTACATCAGTAGAAGCTTTGCAAGTTGCCCAAGCACTGTGACTTGGGATAACTCATCCTCCCTGGACTCTGGGTTCCTAGGCTACAAAACAAAGAATATGGATCACAACAGGTCTGAAAACCTATCTAATTTTAGGGTTCTATGAGTCCAAGTACAGAATACCAGAATTTTCCAAATCGTAGATCAAAAATATGATAATATTGTGGGCCTAGCACACAGTACAGTACTGCACATACCAGCCACTTCAATTGAAGTGCTTCTATAAAATATTTTGGGGAATAATCAACCTTAAGCTCCTTACTGATATTCACAAAAAGCTGCGACTGTGGGAATTACAGGCAGGACGACATTAGGAGTGCTTTATTTTCAATAAAGAATTTAATAAATTCTTTTAGAAGAGTAATGGAACCTGCAACAATCTACAGATGCAGTTTAGAAGTCACAGAATTACGTCTGGAAACAAGTAGTCCTGTTACGGTGGCCGAGTGAGCAGTGGCTTTTAAGAATGTGTTTAAAAACTTTGGTTACAACAGTTTTTCAATTTAAAAAATATAAACGTAAGGTAACATTTTCTGCAATATTACCTTAAAACAAAGCCTACACTCAAACTCCTCCCGGTTTCTTTAAATCCTCTTCCTGAACAATGAACGGGGCTCCTTAAATTCCTGCTGCATCACCGTTATCCACCCTGCGCTCCCCCCCACCCTCCAAAAGGCATTTAAGTGCACCTTTTAAAATAAGGTAAGTTTGTCATGACTGGACTTGAGTGAGCTGTGCCGGAGTGTCTGTCCATATGTTTCTTACACCCCGTCTTTTTCTTCCTTGCAAACGAAGGTCTCGGTGCCTGAGTGCACACATTCAACCCTCACGCCCTGAGGTTCACTCACCTGTACTTAGAATGTGCACGCGTGGCAGACAAGTCCGTTCAACAGTCAGTCCGCCTGAAAAGCGAGTTTAGGGCGCAAACACCAGCCTCCAGGCGCCAGATTCCCTTCGGGTCCCAATTCGACAGCCCATGAGTTCATCAGAAAGCGACGGACTGCCCACACTTCACTTCCCACTCCAAACCCAGGGTCTCTGGAGTCAGGTGGCGCAGACTGATGACGCGCGCTGCCCCCCCTCCTTTTACCGCAGCGCCTCAGCCAAAGCGACTGCGGTTGCCACCCCGCCCCCTTGCGGGCGCCATTGAGAGCGTGGCGGTAACCTGGCGCCTGCCGTCCAGCCCTGTCGAGACCGATGCCCTCTAGTGGCTCAGTGTCCAGAAGCCGCCAAAGAGGACGCCCCATGGCATCCCGGAGCTTTGACGGTAAGGTCGCCCTGCTCTTCATAGAGGGACGGGGGTTGTCGAGTACTGTGTGGCGCCACCTCGCGGACAGTGGTCACGCGGCCGGGCGGGGAGAGCCGGCGGGGCGGGGAGAAAAGAGGAAGCGGAACGGGTGGTGCGGCGTTGCGCTCACGGAAGGGATTGAGGAAAACACTACGTTTCCCAGAGGCCTGCGAGGCTTGAAGTGGGGGGAAAGGGGAGCCGGAAATCGGAGTGCCCGACAGGGTCAGAGGCCGCCTCTGAACTCGGATTCCCAGGGTGCACAGCTGCTGGCGGCTGCGCGCGCACCTCGGGCGCGGGCGTTGGAGCGCCTTTGGTGCCGCCGCTATCAGAGGACTCGATTTCCCAGGGTCCCGCCGCGGGAGTCCCCGGCGGGCTGGCGCGCGCGAGCCGCTGAGCGAGGCGACGGAGGCGGCCGCCCAGGCTTCTGGGTCCTCTTGGTCTTCGCCTTTCTTCTCGGTTTCTGCTCCGTCGGCCGCTGCCGCCGCGGCCCCCGGCCCGAGCGACATGGCGGCGGTGTTGCAGCAAGTCCTGGAACGCGCGGAGCTGAACAAGCTGCCCAAGTCCGTCCAGAACAAACTTGAGAAGTTCCTTGCTGACCAGCAGTCCGAGATCGACGGCCTGAAGGGGCGGCACGAGAAATTTAAGGTGGAGAGCGGTAAGTGCCACGCTCTTCCCGCCCCGGGTTCTGGGCCCGACTCCGCCGCTGTGGCTGGGCTTCTCCCCTCGCAAGCGCGCGGTCTGCCCACGACTCCCCGGGGGCATCGCTGCCCGGCCCCCCGGGGTCCCGAGGCCTGCCCTTACCCGCTGCTCTCCCAGTCTGATGCCGAGGAGGCTTTTGTTTGTTTAAATGTGAATCCACATTTAGTTCCGTTTTCCCTGTCATTAGGGTGGTCTCGTATCTGGACACAACGTTGTCCGGCAAACAGAAATGGTGAAGAATTGGGTCTGTTGCAACCAGACTGGCGAGAGTATGCGACCCCTGTCTCTCTAAGGCTAGAGTACCCTGTCTGTACGTTGCACGTAAGATGGTAGTAATTTCCGCTCAGCCTTCAAGTCGCCTGCCTTCAAAGGCCTTTGTCTAATTGACGCCTTGGTGCACTTGTTCTGAGTGTGAGTGTGGGTGTGTGTGTGTGTGTCGCTGTGCTCCGGTAACGAGGTAGATGTTCACAGAAATGAGGAGGCGCATCAGACGGCGCTGCAAACACAGTGAACGGGCAGTGAATAAGTTTAATATATCGGGAATAAGTTTAATATATCGGAATTCTCCCTAAAAGTTGGAGTTTGATAGAAAATAGATTAAGACCTGTTTATAAATACCTACAGGAGGCCCACAAATAAGAAAGTTACAGACACTAGTGACTTGAACATCCTTGAAGAAAGATTAAGAGCATAGTAATTACCATTAGTAACGCAAACTTTCTCTTGTGTGTCTTGGTTTACCGGTTGTGTGGGGGATTGGTACTGGTTTTTGCCAAGTTGATTGAAAATTCGGAAGAAGTTTTCACGTCAAAAAAATGTAATTATCAAGCAGAATTGATGTTGAAAACTAATTCTCTGAATCCCAACATGAATATAGTACACTGCCTTCTATTGATTTACACAGTAAATATTTAGTGTCTTCCCTGTGCCCGATACTCTGCTGAACACTCTGCACTCTGTCCCTTCCCATGGGAAGTTAACACATTTATTTTTACATAAACTTGGTAATTTTGTGCTTTCAGGTATGATTTTGACTATTTTAATACAAGCCTTTTAAAGTAATGCAGTTTTTAATCTAAATAATATTTTCTCCCTTTGGTATTTTTTTTGGTCTGTTTTGCTAAGAAGTCTACTGTTGTGTGGGAAAAATACTAAGATAAATAAGACATGTTGCTTGCCCTGAAGGAGTTCATAATCTTGTGAGATAGACAAGTAATTTGTAAAACCCCTTTAGGCTTTATTTTCTTTTGTCATGTATGTATAAGTCAGTTGGAAATGTTCATTAAAGTCCTTTTCAGTGCTCGATTTATCTCTAATCAAATTCTTATTTGGAGTGCAATTCTAATACTGTCTTAAATTTTAAAATCAAGTTATTAAAAATACGTAGCCGTATTGACAATGTGTGTACATATGTGTTTGATTTTATTTTTTATTTGCTTTTCTGTAGAACAACAGTACTTCGAGATAGAGAAGAGGCTGTCCCACAGTCAGGAGAGACTTGTGAATGAAACCCGAGAGTGCCAAAGCTTTCGGCTTGAGCTAGAGAAGCTCAGTAAGTATTTAATTACATCTTTATAGTATTCTTGGAGTATTGAGATTTTCAGACGTTCCTTTGTATGCTTTGGAAACATTTACTTACTATATATGAAAATGTTGATTAAGTGACGTTGTGTTCATTTATGGTGATATTTTGATTTTTCACTCTGATAAAAACTTTGTAAGAACATAGGGCTTAATGATCAGGAGGCCTGGGTTCTAATTCTAATTGCTATTAAAAGCTCTTTTGCCATATGTAAATCATAACGTTGTGTGATTGTTGTTTATAAAATGGCTAGAACCACATGTCCGTATACTTAACGCAGCTGAACAGATCAAATGAGATGTTTGAATGCCTTTTGAAAAGGCTAAAGAATTATGCAACTGAAAAAGTAATTAAAGAGAGTGACTTATTTTATGTTGTTGAAAAATTACAGCCTATCAGTTCTGTTACTATATTTATGTTTTAACTCTCTTTGTTATAATTTTTATAAATATTTATGAATCTCAGGATATTTCCTTTCTAAGGCCTAGTTCTTATGAAAGATAAGTAGCTGATTTTCTTCTTAATTTGTTTTCTTACATCATGAAGTCCTAGAAGGTACACAAGATCTTAGTTAAAGGTCCTGACATTTCCTGGGAGGATGATGTGTGTATTACGTGCAGTGTTTATAACAGAAGAAAGCAGGTTTCAGGAAAGATCTTTATAGAGTAGAGGCATAATATTTGTTATTAGATATAGCTGGATTTTAATTTGATGGGGAACACGGGAAACCATAATCAAGAGAATAGTTCAGACTTCAACCTTCTTTCTTAACTGATGTTTGCCCATCAGCTATTTGTTTGGGTTATAACTTTTTTCAGCTGATTTTGGCACATCTCATTTTTAAAACATATGACATATTTCTATGATAGTATGTATACAGGTGTAGTGACAGCATAAATACTTATTTTTTTAATTATTTTTTTGGGGTCATATTGGCTTACAGCACTGTATATATTTCAGGTGTACCTCACTACATTTCAATTTTTGTATAAACTGCGTTGTGTTTACTACCAACAGTCCAATTTTTACCTGTCACCATACGTATGTACCCCTTTACCCCTTTCGCCCTGCCCCCACCCCCTTCTCTCTGATAACCGCTAATCTGTTCTATCTATGTTTATTTGTTTATCTTCCACATATGAGTGAAATCATACTGTATTTGTCTTTCTCTGTCTGACTTATTTCACTTAGCATAATACCCTCAAAGTCCACCAGTGTTGTTGCAAATGGCACGATTTTGTCTTTTTTATGGCTGAGTAGTAGTCCATTGTATATATTGCCACATCTTCTTTATCCATCCATCTGTTGATGGGCACTTGGGTTGCTTCCACATCTTGGCTATTGTAAATAATGCTGCGATGAATGTGGGGGTGCATATATCTTTTCAAATTATTGTATTTCATGTTCTTTGGATAAATACCCAGTAGTAGGATAGCTGGATCGTATGGTATTTCTATTTTTAATTGTTTGGGAAGTCTCCATACTATTTTCCATAGTGGCTGCACCAGTTTGCATTCCCATCAACAGTGTATGAGGGTTCCCTTTTCTGCACATCCTCTCCAACATTTCTTAATTCTTGTCTTGTTAATTACAGCAGTTCTAACGGTTGTGAGGTGACGTGTCATTGTAGTTTTGGTTTGCATTTCCCTAATAAATAGTGACATTGAACATCTTTTCATTTGCCTGTTGGCCATCTGTATATCTTCTTTGGAAAAATATCTGTTCATATCCTCTGGCCATTTTTTGATAGGTGGTTCATTTTTTTTGTTATTGAGTTGTATGTGTTCTTTATATATTTTGGAAATTAACCTCTTGTCAGATATATGATTTACAAATATTTTCTCCCAGTTAGTGGGTTGTCTTTTTGTTTTGTTGATAGTTTCCTTTGCTATGCAGAAGATTTTTAGTCTGATGTAGTCCCGCTCGTTTATTTTTTCTTTTATTTCCCTTGCCTGAGTAGACATGGTATTCGAAAAGATACTGCTAAGACCATAAAGGGTCTTGATCATTGTTGGTCTTGTTGAGTAGCTTGATCGAGTTCATTATCTATATGTAGTAGTTTTTCCTTGGCATAATAAAAAGGTCTGTAGAACAGTGGTGCCAAAGAATTTCAAGAAAATGACTGTGATTAGTTTCTTTTATGAGATTTGGAAAAGGGAGAGGGAGAGGAAGATGAGGATAAACCTACACAGACATCTAATATGCCTTCTTGGGGTATATAGTTATGTTTGTATTTTTTAGTTTATCATTCTGGATCTGTGTTTGGAAAGCACTAAATAACATTAAAGCAAAATAGAAAATTTAGACTAATTTAGCGGGTTTTTTCTTTTAATAAGGCAATTGTTTAAATAGAACTTAAGCTTGAAAGTAGTAATAATGTGTTTGTTCATTAAGTTGCTAGCACATAATATAGATATGAAGAAAGTTTCAAAAAGTATCCTCTTCCTAATTATCTGCATGTGTTTAGAAGAGAAACTGTATAAGGAGAGATAGCCCATTATGAGTGGAGATTGTGGGATTGATAATTCAGTATCAAGCATAATTTTCTTTCCTCCATGTTAAAGGCTTTCTTTAGAGTGATAAACAAGGTGAATTACCCATTATTGTGGTTTACTCTGTATACATTTTATGTAATTTAAATGTTATTTACTCTCTTGATCTTGTCTTTTTTTACTCGGTTTTTTTATTTGTAAGTATAATTCGCTGTTTTTTA